GGAACACTGTTCCGGAAAAGGGCGAGTGTAGACAGCCCAGTAATCTTTTCCGGAAAAAAGCCCTGATCGCGAAAATGACGATCGGGGCTCTTTTCCGGAAAAGCGCGTCTACATTGGCCACAGATGCTTTTCAGGAAAAAGGGCTTTTCCGGAAAAGCAGCCTGCCACGGTAGACGCTCTTTTTCCGGAAATACTTATAACGAAGACTATTCTGTTTTAAGCTTATCCGGAAATTCATGCCAGTGTAGACACAGCCACACATAATAACAACCATTGCAGAGTCTCAGAGCCTAGATCTACAGAGCCAGTCTTGCACTAACTACAGCACTAAAAATGTCAGTGTAGATATTGCTGTGGAGATGGAACATGGACTCTGAAATTTGGCTCCCTCTCAAAATCCAGCCAAGTGGGAATATCCACACTGCTATTTTCAGCACTGTAACGGGATCCCTGGGAGCCTAAGTCTGCGGACCCAGGCTCTGAGACTCACTGCTTGGTCTTTTCTTGCTGTGTAGATGTACCCACTGCATGGGGAAGTTAATTCTTTGTTGAAATGAATCTCCTCTGTATGTGTCTATTGCATGAATCTTGCAAATATGAGATCATTTTAATCGCCAATGATAATACTGTATTAGGCATATTATTCTGTTACAAGTTTGCCAGCATATAAAACCATACTGAAATATGAAATATACATTTTGAAATGTATGCTAATATGGTACAGTTTTTAAAAATGGAGAAACCCAGAAATTCTGGCCCTATCAAAGTCAATGGGAGTTTTGCTGTCAAGTTCAATACAGTGAGGATTTCAACCAAAGAACGCAAGCCCAGACTTCAGTTGATGACAAAAATTCACGTTATGGCAATTGTGAATGTAAGAATTCAGAAATGCAATGGGAGTTGTGCTCTGCTCATCTGCAGGCCAGTTCTGGTTCTCTTCTTCCCAGCTTTTTTCTAAATATGCTTAGATCTAAGAACCAGGAATAAACTGACAGATCTGGGTGTGTTTGTGTGTGCTCTGAGGTCCTGCAAGCTTGTGTTTCATCTGAAATACACACTTAGGGCCAAATCCTGTTCTTATACATCCTATGAATTACACTGACACCAACAAAATAGAGGGAATGGCACAGTGTGGCCAGTAAAGATGCAGCGTTGTTAGGTGCTTAGTGCACTCAGCACTCATCAATTCATTTCAGCATTCCAGAGCACAGATTAATTAAAAACCAAGTGAAACCTTTCATAGCAACAGGTGGTGTTCCAAAAAATCCAGGCAGGCCTGGTTGCCCTCGTTCTCCACGATCCCCCTGTAAAAAATCATTATGTTTAGTGACAGCAGTGCAGTTTGACACCATGTAACTAAAGGTGGTAAGAAAATCCATACACACAAGATGGCATGGCAACCTTACTTCTGATGTCTTAATTTCTGAGGCCATTTGATAATGTCTATATCAAATGGCAGATTGATGCTGCGGAAGTCGATCTTCCAGTGGTCAATCTAGTGGTTCTAGTAAGGACCTGCATGCCCCGCCCCCCCTCGACTCCAGTGTCTCCCACAGTTGCAGTCTCCACTGTGAGGATGCCAGAGAAATTTGGCTTAAGGTAAATCGACTCCTGCTATGTTATTTACATAGCTGAAGTTCCATATCTTAAGCTGACCTTCCAGTTTGGTATAGGCCTGCCCTGAGTGGTTGACTCTGAAACCTTAACATTTTAAATTTATTTTTCATTTTTTAAAAAGTACTATAAAAACTACTCAATATCTTTGAGTATCGGTGGCTAACTTGGATAAATTGCTGAAACGTGTTTTGTCTACTTGAATTTTCAGAGCTCTGACAGTCAGATCTGGTTACATTAGTATACTGCATTAAGCACAAGTGATACTTAGTCAATTATAGGATCTATAGCACATTATTATAACATACTAGGCTTATTATAATATACTAGAGGGCAGTGCCCCCGGCTTGCTACAATTGCCAACCCCCCTCTCTCACGCTACCAGAGAGGGCCAGGCTGAAGCGTGGCAACCCCATTTCAGCTACCAGGGAGTTAGACTGAGGCCGCTGCTGGTCTGGCTCTCTCCCTCCAGCTGCTAGGGGGTTGGGCTCTCTCCGTGCGGCTGCTGGGAGGGGTTGGGCCAGGCTGAGGCAGAGATGACACTCTTCCCGGTGCCAGGAGGGGCCGGGTTGAGGCTCTTCACCCTACTCCCCTCGCTGCTGGGAAGGGTCCAAGGTTGCTCCAGCCCTGGCTCTTCCCCCTTTCCCCAAGGCCACCCAGGCTCTTGGGGGCCCCTCTAGTCCTTTCCCCCCACCCCGGTTACTGGGGAGAGCCCTGGGCAGGTCCGGCTCTTCCCAGCACCCAGAGGCTGAGGGTGCCCTGGCCCCTGCCCCCCCGTGGCTGGCCCCAGGGGCCTGGCAGTTTCCTGCGGGGGAGGAGGGCAGGAGAGAGCCCCACCCCACAGCAGCAAATGCATGCTTCCCTGCAAGCCAAATCTGGTGTGGAGTCTTGGCGGGCTTCTCCTCTTCCCAGCCCCCCACTGCAGGAAGCTGCCGCTGGCACTCTAATCTTGCAAGCGGTGGAAGGGTTCAAGGCTGGAGCGCCAGGCAGGAGGCAACCCGAACACCTGGCCCGAGACAGGAGGAGATGCCTCGCTGGGTCCCGGAGTGTTGGGGCCCCAAAGGGCAGTGAGAAGCTACTGCTGCCGCCCCTGCCCCACCTCTGCAGGGGAGCCAGGGACCAGCGGGGAGCCCAAGGCACCCCCCCTAGGAGGATTGGGGGGAACCCTGAGCTATGGTCACTGCTTCCCTTTCTGCAGACTCTGCTTAGGCTAGGGGGTGGGGCGACGCACAGTCATGTGATGACATCACTCTGTCGCCGCACAGTAAAAGGTTTTTCATATAGAAAGAGATTTAATAATATTCACATTTAGCAAGTAAAATGTAGTTATTTGATTTAACATTTTATACAAGAATGGGAATTTTTTTTTCATAATGACAGGCAAACACTGACAATAAAGCAAAAAGATTTTCATCCTGAAAAAAAAAGAAAATATAATAGGCTTATTCCTCTGCTTTCAAATCTGCAAACTATTTTAAGATCTGCTAAAATATATTTAAGGCTATTTGCTGGCAGTAAATATGTATATAATATTTGGACTAGAGTAGATTGATTTCTACAGTACACTTAGGAAGATACAGTTCCAACCCTTTAATTCTTACAAGGTAATTTTAGAATGACAGAATGAATGGAGAGAAGCAGGCTGAGGTCATGTAGTTACTTGTAAAATCTTTGCAACATGAACTAATTTTTGTTCTCTGTTTGTAATGGGCAATGGAGCCTTAGTCCATTATTGGGGCTCCTATCTGCTACAACAATACAAATAATAATGTGATATTAAATGACTTAGTTTAGATGTGTGCACCATGATGATTCAATCAAAATTTGTCTGTTTGTTAATCTTTATTGCTGCCTCAATTGTTTCAGACATCATAAAAGGAGTAATTTGAATGTGGAGAGAGGGCTGTGGTTTGACAAGCTAGTACACTGAAATGATCTTAGCTGATCAAAACATACTGGCTGTGTCTAGACTGCATCCCTTTTCCGTAAAAGGGATGCAAATTAGACACATCGCAATTGCAAATGAAGTGGGGATTTAACCCCCTCCGCTTCATTTGCATAAACATGGCTGATGCTTTTTTCCCGGCTCGGGGCTTTTTAAAGAGGAATAAGGGATCTTTCAGAAAAGGCTTTATTTTCTGAAAGATCCCCGTCTAGACTGGCGCTTTTTTCCAGCAAAGCCCCGAGCCGCAAAAAAAGCAGCAGCCATGTTTATGCAAATGAAGCGGGGGGGATTTAAATCCCCGCTTCATTTGCAATTGCGATGTGTCTAATTTACATCCCTTTTACGGAAAAGGGATGCAGTCTAGACACAGCCAAGGATTTCTGCACTTTTACCTTTATGCCTGCATAACCAGCATGACCAGGAACACCAGGAACTCCATTTTCCCCCTAGAACCAATGACAGAAATATCTCTGTGTATTAATTCAACAGAACTATGTGCCATGCACTTAAATATTTACTATAAATTAGTCAATTACCATACAATACTATGACCTGTTAATAATAATTTTGCATTGTTTCATAGCACTTTATTTTTTGTCAATGACAACAGAACTATGTGCCATGCACTTAAACATTTACTATAAATTAATCAAAACTAGGTAACAGTTAAGTTACATTTTTATGGGCTCTCTTATGTTAAAAGATAACTTAACTGTTACCTAGTTATTTCGAGAGTGCCTAGGGACCCACTGTAGCAGAAGAATAGCACAAGCTCGTTAGTGATGCACGTCCTTGCTGCAAGCAGACAACTATTGCCTAATCCAGCTGATTGGTTGCTGATTGGTCAACCCTTAACAACAACCATTAGGTGGGAAACAGCATCACTTTAGCTCCATCTGAAGCCAGACTGTCTCCTTTCTTGATCAGGTCTATTAATATACCTAGTACCCAACCAGCTACAATGGGTAGAGAGTGGGTTTAATTCATTAGCCATGTATGAAGGCAAATAACACAAGCGGGATAAATACTTGGGCATGCAATTGAGGAGTGAATAATTTGCACAGAAGTACAATTCATGATTAGTGTAACTGTGGCCTGAATAAGATGTAGAGAGTACAGCTGGAAGGAAAAGGAGAAAGATTACGTAAATATAGGTGTGTCCACTCTACTCTAAATCTGGTATGATGCATAGATTCAGAACCCAGATTTACAGCAGACTGTATTGAAAACTGCCATCTCCTCAACCAGAAGACCATATAATGTCAAAAGAAAAATGTAGGTGTAATGTCAAAAGAAAAAGTGACAAGCCACCATGCTATACCTGTGTCATTTGTGTTTCTGATCATCTTACCTTTATTCCTGGAAAACCTACAGCTCCACAGGAACCAGGGCTACCCTAATAAAAGCAAGTAGAATGAAAACCAAAACAGAAACTAGTCTTACATTACTGCTTGTATCTATTTCCAAATTGATTAATTAAAAGTTCATTCTTAGTTTTTTCACAGCAACTTGTGTATTTATTGGTTATAATATTCATCAGGACAGAGGCGAATATAGGGCAGGGCGAGCGGGGCGGCCGCACCGGGCCCCGCGCTTCAAGAAGCTCCGCGTGGGCCCCACGCTTCAAGAAGCCCTGCGTATGCACCGTGTCAAAGGGAGGGCCCCGTGAAATTGTGCTGCCCTGGGCCCCACAAAATCGTCATCTGCCCCTGCATCAGGATCTCATTTCTGCAACATTTTTTCAAACTTAAGGGTGGGCATGACTTTGAACAATGGCTCAAAGTCAAATGAGATCAGAGCCTATCCTAATTTTTACTATACTGTGTTATAAAGAGCCTTAGAAAAGTCTGATGTGAGAAATACGATAAACATGAAAACTTTGTTTTCAGACTCAAAGTATGCTATATATAAAACTAAGATTAATTTTAAGCATCCTAATTTCTTATAATAAAGTATTCTAAAATATATAAACTAACTATGATGAGTACTTGAGATTTTTTATTTTGAAGTGTCCTTACCTGCATTCCAGGGACTCCAGGAATACCTTTTTCACCCTTTTCTCCATTTCCAGGTGCACCCTATTATCATTCAAAACACTTTGTTTAAACAGATTACCCAAACAAGACAGTTATAGATAATTTATAATGTGACCATGGGCAGAAAAAGTAAAAACACAGATAGTCATGTTATAGATTTCATCTACAACCACTAGTTAGGGCTAGAGATCTTACACTGACTTGACATTCCCTCTATCCCAGGGTCCATTGCCTTTTGTTACCCAGGAGAAGACATACCTGTTTTCATCTTTTAACATCTCATTTTAACATGTTCTCAAAGAGGATCTTTCTAGCTAAGAGTAATCTTTGGGATTTGTAAGGGACCAGCCCATATGCCTGTTATAAAGCAACAGGAACATAATTTATTTATAACATTATTGGCAAGGAGGGATAATGCACAAGAAACAAGTTTTTTAAAATAATTCATAAAGAGAAAAGGCAGTTCTTACCCACAACTGCTGAAGCCCCAATTTTGCCTACCAAACCTATATGGAGTAGTCCCAGTGACTTGCTTTTCTGTGTAGCAGGAAATGGCCAAAAGAAAAAGGGGCTGGGCTCAATGTACAAAAATATAATACTCTGAACCAATCTTACTTCTCAGCAAGGCTGTGTCTACACTGACACCCTTTTCCAGAAATGCTTAAAACGGAACAGTTTTCCGTTATAAGTATTTCCGGAACAGCGCATCTACATTGGCAGGATGCTCTTCCGGAAAAGCACTTTTTCCGGAAAAGCATCCATGGCCAATGTAGACATGCTTTTCCGGAAAAAAGCCCCCATCGTCATTTTCGCGATCGGGGCTTTTTTGCGGAAAAGACTACTGTGCTGTCTACACTGGCCCTTTTCCAGAATAGTTTTTCCAGAAAAGGAATTTTGCCCGAATGGGAGCAGCATAGTTTTTCTGGAAAAACACTGACAATTTTACAGTAGATCGTCATTGCTTTTCCGGAAAAGCAAGCGGCCAATATAGACAGCTGGCAAGTTATTCCGGAAAAGCGGCTGCTTTTCCGGAATAAGTGGCCCAGTGTAGACACAGCCCAACTGTGCCCACTCTCCCCTCCCTTTCCTTTGCCCTCTAAAAAAGATCCTGGACCTAAGAATTGTCTCTTCTTCCACGAGGCCTGATGAATTTCCTTTCACTAAACATGTCAATGCTCCTGCTCCCTGGCTGTTCCTTCCCAGCAGCATGGGGCAGAACAACTGCTAAAAGAACTATGTTGGGAGGGAGGAAGAGGAGGGGCTAGTAGGGCAGTGCACAAGATCTATCCCTCCCAACTGACAACTTTGCCATGAGCTTTCCTGAGGATCCTCAGGACCTGGGAAGTTGGGGGACTTCCTCTCTGATGCGCTTCACCTCTAAAATCCCAATCCTACTGAAAGGGATGAATCTGGAGTCCCTTCTTCTCCCCTGCTTTCTAACTGGAAAGAGACTGGCATGCCCATTGTAGCCAGACAGGAACCCCCACCTGTGACATACATCTTGCTTGCCTGGAGCATACAGGGCACACAGTAAGATCAGCATAGTCTTTGAAGCCTTGAGAGAAGGCCCGGATATGCTGGCTGCTGTGACCCTGGATGGCTGTAAACAGAGATACGCCAATTGTTGACCTCGAGGCTGCGAGAACTGCCTTGGCTGGCACCTATATTGATACGATCACTCTCTGGAGGAATCTCTCACCCACTAAAGAATGTCCAGTACTCACAATTTAGTTCTCTCTCTTACAAGTGTAAATTAAGTTGAAACTCCCTTGTAAGAACTGGTGTCACAAAGACGGACCAACACAATTTGGCATCTTAGATAAGAAAGAGGATACAGGCCCCTATGGGTATAAAGATGGGTCCAGCAGCACACTCACTCTGAGCGTCAATCTACCATCTATCTGCTGGTCGGGTTAGGTGATTGGCCTCCCAATCGTTCCATGGGGACGCCCACCTCGTATTTGTCTTTCCTAGAAATTGAGGGACCGGCCCTGGCCTGATACGCTGGAGTTGAGAGGCACAGAAAGGGGTAAAAATTGTACCTGGATGTGTCCTTTGTCTTAAGTGTACACATAGACTTAGAGCTCTTTAAAGTTTAAGCTGTCACTTGGTACCATTATTTCTATTTTCTATCTTTATTTTCTTTGTAACCATTTTTAAGATCTATATTTGCTAGCAGTTAATAAATAGAGCAATAGTCATTGTAACCATATGATTTATAAGCTTCTTTAATAAACCTGTAACTGTTTAAGCTTTAACCTGACTCCTTCAGTTGCTGTAACAGAACCAAACACAATTTAAAAGAACTCCAGCCGGTCATAAGGGACAGATACAGGCAGAGCTGGGCATTTGGAACGTGTCGCTTCCATGGGACAGATCTATAGGGGCACCTCTCAGCCTTCCCTAGGCTGCCCGCTGTGAAGGGATCATGTATCCTAGCAGTCAAAGACACGGACGTAAAACTTCTCAGGGCACCTGTCAGCCTCCCTTAGGCCGCCCGCTGTGACAGGACCTTGTGACCCAGCCGTTGAAGACTCGGGTGTATAACACATACACCACGCACTGCCCTGACCATCGGCTGACACCCGTGTGTAGCAACACTTGAGAGTCAGCTGTAAAAGACATTTTTGGCAGACAGATTTTTCCAGAACATTCTGCAATGTATGTTTTCCCATTGTTTTCCATGAAGATTAAATTCTGCAATATAATGCTATGGTATTTCCCAAGTCAATCACTCATTGAAAAAGAGTGTTTAGCAACACAAAAGGGAACTCTGCCAACATCATTTAGGAATCAGAGAATGATCATAACAAATGTTTAGGGCTGAAAAAGATCTTGGGAGGTCACTTAGTCCATTCCCTTACCCGGCGGCAGGTCCAAGTAAACTTAGACCATCCGTGACAGACTTTTGTATAACCAAAAGCGACGAGGAGTCCTGTGGCACCTTATAGACTAACTGAAGTGTAGGAGCATAAGCTTTCGTGGGCAAAGACCCACTTCGTCAGCTGTATAACCAGTTCTTTAAAACCTCCAATGATGAAATTCTGCAACTTCCTTTGGTAACCTATTGCAGTACTTAAATATCCTTATTGCTAGAAGGAAAGGGAACAATGCAGAACAAAATATGTCACTTACTTTGGGTCCAGGTGATCCTTTGGGTCCTACTGCCCCTGACATTCCTTTTACACCCTAAATATAAAGATGCAACATTTTTTCATCTTAGCATGCAGAAGATATTTAAGACTTGCATAACTCCTGAAGTTTTGTTAGGTTTTGAAAATTGGCTGTAAATATGGGACCTTGTTATTCATGCAGACTGCAAATGGCATGAGTGTAGTCAAAAAAGCTTGTAATTGTGGATGGAGGTAATAAAGGCAACGGAAGGCGATCCCTTTCCAAATAGTCATGGCTGGATGCTCTCTAGGGAGCCTGCTGAGGCGGGAGGTGGGGACAGGGCTCTGGCATTGGGGCTATGCTACCATGTGCAGAGGGAGGGAGAGAATGAAGTGGCATCAGTTGGCAGAGCATGGGGACTGGTGGCAGGGTGCTGGAGAAAGGTGGTTGCCAGGGGTAGGCTGGCCGGAGTTCCAGTTGGGCTGAGAAGGCTGGGGCCATGGGACTGTTTGGCTGCTCCAGGAGCTGACGGGGAGTTGGGGCTGTGTAACTTCCTGACAATGGAGAGAGGCACTAGCTTTGCAGAGGGGCCAACAGTCATAATGGAGGGGTCTGACGATGCAGGGTGGAAGAAGTGGGGCTGGGATTTGCCTCTCCAAGCCAGCCATTCACCCACTGCCCATGCTTGTAATTATAAAGCCAATTTCTGCCCTCAGTCAGAGTTGCACTGCTGTAACTGAGGATAAAATTACTGGGAGTGATGCATAGCAGGAAAGATCCCTGTTTGACTCATTTCCCAGGTGGAGTCTGCAGACCTGAAACGGACCCTTACAACATGTACTAACTGCTTATGCTAAACAATCTCCTCCATCTTGCACTTTGCTCTCATACGAGGAGTTCCCTTCCCAGACTTGAAGGAGAGCAGAGCTCTCTGTAACTTGGAAGTTTGCCTCTCTCGCCAACAAAAGATATTATCTCACCCAGCTGTCTCTGCAGAGCTGGCATTTAGCAAAAGAAATTCCTTTCATTCATATATAATGTTAATTAAATTTGATTGTCACTGAAATTTCAATACAGAACTCCACAATACAATTTTTACAATTGCTTTTTAGACCAGAAGTGCATTTTAAATGTTTTAGAATCTGCAGCAAAAGAGTCTCCATGATTCTGTAAAGTGCTAAGATTATTCTATCTATTTTGAGTACGTGAGTGCTACAATTCTAGCCAATCTATTATAGGGGAATTTCTCTAAATACCATGATTTCACATTCAAAAATAAATATGGGGACCAAGCTTACTTTTTGTAAGTAATGTATCAAAGTTGGATGCTTGATAGTTTGACCTGTCTTCAGCAGAGTCTCAAACTTGTTGAAGAAATCTAATACATCTCTCTAGTAAGATCTCAAGCTAAGTACAAAGGTCTATGGAAGTGATTGAAACTGTGAGATCGGTATGGAAAAGGGATTCCGTTCCAGAGATAATGTGTCTTGTCAAAGATGCCTGAGTTAATGAGGGTATGTCTATACTATGCAGCTTTTAGCAATTAGGTTGTGTCGACACAGCCCTGTCACTAAAAGTTGGGTGTGTGTGAATGTGGTTGGTCAGCACTTTTGCACTTGCAGCAGTGAAAATTTGTAATTTGGGAGGTTGGGGAGTTAAGAACCATGAATGCCAAAAGTTTCTGTCAATCAATTACAAGTGTAGATACAGCCTCAGTGAGTTTTTGCTGATGGGTATATATTCAGCCCACTCTGAGGCAATCTGTCCATGGTGCAGAGGGGAAAGATGTAAAAAGAGGAATGGTACAAAGGTCTTCCCTGGATAGAAGTAACACAATGGCTAAACTCGGAGGGGCTGACAGACTCACCAGGCCCCTGGGCAAGGTGGGTAAGGGGAGGCTCCATGCCTCTGGAAGGGGCAGGGCCTCATATGGAAGGGGCAGGGCTGGGGCTACCATCTCCTGGGCAGCCTCAGCATTGGCCGAACACACCACGCGTATCCCCCCAGGCAGCTTCAGTGTTGGCTGAGAACTACTCCAGGAAGCCCTCAGTGCTGCTTGGAGCATACTGTGTGCTGCTCCAGTGGCGATTTAAAGGGCCTAGGGCTCCAGCCACCACTACCAAAGCTGTAGTACCAGCAGTGGCAGTCAGGAGACCCAGGTCCTTGGGAATCACCAGGCCCCCGGGGTAGCTGCCCCTTTCCTCTTCTCCGCTATCCCCACATCCTGCATCGGCTGGTCTGGATAATAGTATTTTTAGTGATGATGGTGGAACATTTCTCAATAATGATCCTTAATATAAAATCTGTGAAAAATGCATCTTGGGATAGCTCCTCCAGTAAACTGAGTACAGTCATGTTTAAAAACAGACTTTAATTTGCAAACCTTTTCTCCTTTAACCAGGTGAGAACCAGGAGGCCCAACCAACAATGGCTGTCCTGGAGATCCGGGTGGTCCAAAATCACCCTATTAAAGACAGAGAAGCAATAGAAATGGATATCTGGTTCAACGTGCTGGCTCTGCAAGGTTCCAGGACATTTAAATCTCCTAGTTACAACACAAACATCTCTACTCTCATTGAACAAATGCTTCTGCTGGTTTGTGGGTACAAAGAGCTCTGCAAATTCCTGTCAGCCACCCAGCACTCTTTAAATCCATGAAAGGTAATGGTCCTGTACTGAGCAGGGGTGGCTGCTTACTGACCCCGAGGGGGATGAGCCCCTCTTTGAGCCTGGGTGGGCCAAGCCAGGTCCTGCCCCTTTAACTCCAGAGAGGCCATGGGGCAGATCAGGGAGCATAAAAGCCCATCCCAGGAGCTCAGTAGGGCTCCAGCTGCCAGAGAAAGCTGAGGCCTGCCCCGAGCTCTCAAGACAGGAGGGCCCGGAGGACCTTGCAGAGGCTGAGAACTGGCCTGGATCCAAGACACCTTCTACACCCTGCCCAAGAGTTCAGACTACCATGACCCCAACGACCAGCAGCCAGCGTGGAGCCAGATAGATGCGGAGGGGGAGTTAGGAAGTGGCCCAGGGGAAGCTGACGACTGTCAGGGTGATCTCATGACATTTTAGAGTGTGTCAGTGTGTTGTGGACCAGATCCCTGCTGACCCCAGTGGCAGCCAGGGCTGTCACTGCTAGGGCCCTAGGCTGGGAGGTGGTGAAGTAGGGAGGGCCCGCGTCCCCCCTGGTACCCTACATACCAGGTAGCAGTCTCCCCATCCCCGCTCATGCCTAGGGAACTGTATTTAAAAACAGACGCCGAGTGGGGAAGGAAGTCCTCTACAGAGCCAGGTAATCTGAGAAATTGGATCCAATAAGTTGCTTTGGTGTCCAAGGCAGACGCCAAATGGAACTCTGGATGCTTTTCTCCCTGGTAACATCTGATTTTTTTTTTAATCTGTCAATTAAGTGCTTGACATGGGAGAAGGGGTAAGTCAGTTTGCTGGCGGTAATGGGATAGTTCAGGTTGCTGCCCTGAGTCCTGAGGTGGGTACTTGAGCTGCTGATTGGATTACTTTGTAGGAATTGGTAATGTCAGGCTGCAGGGTGGGAGGAATGATGTTTGAAAATACTGTGGACTGAAATAGCAGGCAAAGATTGGGGGAGTGAAATCAGAGATTCGTTATTTCTCAGGGAAATTGTCCTCAAATTGTCCTCCATCAGCTGACAGTTCTAGGTAACATCTGGCAATTCAGACAAACGAGAAAATGCAAGTTGTTAAAAATCAAACTACATTTGAACAATACAAATAAAATCCATTTAATGAAATTTACCTACAATTGGCGCTCCAAATCCAGTGCTTTCCCCCTTGATTTCAATGCAGAATGAGTTTCTTCCTGTCCTAATTTCTCTTACTTCCTGCCTATTAGCAGGAAAATGGCAGCCACCATGGAATAAGCTCAGAGACATCCACAGCCATAGAAAAGTTGAAACTTCAAGAGGTATTTCTTAAACAATGTTACTTTAAACTTTTTTATATATTCTTTTTTTGGTCTATTTATCTACCTATGCAGTGTTTGATAGGAAAGCACTGGAGTTTTCCTTTATTATTATTAACAATATACTTAGCACCCATTTCGCACTTTACATCTGTAAAGCCTTTTACAAACATTAACTAATATTAACTGTAAGAGGTTTTCTCCAAACCTGGTCCTGTCTCCCTTGTATGATTCAGCCCTGAGGGACTTCCTTGTACTGCATGGACCACAGCAAGGCTGTGTCCAGACTCAGGGGTTTTTTCGAAAAAAGTAGCCTTTTTTCAAAAAAACCTCACCTGCGTCTAGACTGCAGCCGTGTTCTTTCGAAATTAAATCGAAAGAACGCGGCTTTTCTTTTGATGGCGGTAAACCTCATTTCACGAGGAAGAACGCCTTCTTTCGAAAGTTCCTCTTTCGAAAGAAGGCGTTCTTCAATGTAAATAGGGCTTCTTCGAAAGAGAGCATCCAGACTCACTGGATGCTTTCTTTCTAAAAAGCAAGCCGCTTTTTCGAAAGTTCAACATGCAGTCTAGATGCTCTCTTTCGAAAGAGGCTTGCAGTCTAGACATAGCCCAAATGAAAAACTTCATGGTCCCCAAAGACAATGAAAATAGAAGTTTCCATCCAACACATTACTGGCGTGAAATCCCCAATGGTGACAAAGTGGAGAGGCAATGGCTTATGTACTAAAAAACCCAGAATGCTGCATACTGTTTTTGTTGCAAACTCTTCCAGTCTAATGTTCCAGCCACACTGGGTTCTACAGGAACAAAGGACTGGAAAAATCTGGCTAGTAATCTGGCATTCCATGAGAAGGCAGCAAATCACCAGAGCACATTCCATAGGTGGAAAGAGCTTGAGATGAGACTAAGGTTAAAGGCCACCAAAAATGATCAGCATCAAGAGAAGATTGCATCAGAGTCTCTTTACTGGCAAAATATTCTGAAAAGACTTGTTGTCATTGTGAGAATGCTTGCTACCCAAACCCTAGCACTGCTTGGCACTTCAGATCAGCTGTGTGTGCCAAACAATGGAAAATTCCTTAAAATTGTGGAGCTGATGGCTGAGTTTGATGCTGTACTTCAGGAGCATCTACGAAGAGTCATTATCCAAGAAATGTACACACACCAATACGTTGGAAAAACAATTCAAAATGAGATCATACAGTTACTGGCAACAAAAGTCAAACGTAAGATTGTGGCAGATCTGAAGTCAGCAAGGGTTATGTCTACACTAGCCCCCTAGTTCGAACGAGGGAGGCTAACGTAGGCATTCGAAGTTGCAAATGAAGCCCTGGATTTAAATATCCCGGGCTTTATTTGCATGTTCCCATCCGGTTGCATTTTTAAATTCCACTAGTCTGAAGTAACTGCCCACGGCACACGCGGCAGTGAAACGGTGATATAGCAATTAACTGTTACTCCTTATGGAATGGAATGAGGTTCGAACTAGGGGGCTAGTGTAGACATACCCCAAGATATTACTCTGTTTTTCTGGACTGCACACCTGACATCAGCCATACGGAACAAATTACTTTAATGGTGCATTCTGTAACAAGAATAGAACCTAGTGAAAATGTCCCTGCAATGATGACTGTCAGAGAGTATTTTCTAGAATTTATTGACATTGATGATACTACAGGAGCTGGTATGACAAATGTGCTTCTTAAAAAGCTGGAAGATACAGGAATTGCGACAGCTGACATGAGAGGTCAGGGCTATGATAATAGTGCTAACATGAGAGGAAAGAACAGAGGAGTGCAGACTCAAGCCTTTTTTGTCCCATGCAGTTCTCATTCATTGAATTTGGTGGTCAGTGATGCAGCATCAGCGTCTAGTGAGGCTGCTGAATTTTTTAATGTAATTCAAAGCATCTATGTATTTTCTCTGCATTAACTCATCGATGGCAAATTCTGAAGCAACATCTAGGAACATCCTCTCTGACACTGAAACCACTGAGTGCCACGTGATGGGAAAGTCGAGTGGAGGCGATAAAGCCTATCAAACACCAAATAGGAAAGATAGATGATGCCACAGTTGCCATTATGGAGGATAATACTATGACAGGAACTGTTTGTGGGAGAACAGTGGCAGAGGGAAATGGAATCACAAGAAATATACATAACTTCAAATTTCTGTGTGGCTTAGTGTTGTGGCATGACATACTGTTTGAAATAAATGTTGTAAGCAAGAGACTCCAAGGTGTTGACCTTGATGTATCTGGAACAATGGAACAATTGGATAAAGCAAAGTCATACCTACAGTCTTACCGGACAGATGAGGGATTTCAAAACGTTGTGAAGAGGGCACAGAAGTTGGCAGAGGAACTTCACACTGAAGCTATTTTCCCACCCATTCAAGAATACAAGAGTCACTGAAGAAGACATTTTGATTACGAGGCATGGGATAATCCCAAACAACAATTCAAAGTTGAATTCTTTAACCAGGTGCTAGATTGTGCAATAAAGTCAGTTGAAGAATGTTTCATACAGCTCAAGGAACACAACAGTGTATTTGGGATGTTGTATGATATTCCAAAACTCTTCACTATACCTGAAGAAGACCTACACCAGCAATTCAGGGCACTAGAGACAGTGTTGACACATGATGACATGCACGATATTGATGTAAGTGATTTAGGTGATGAACTGAAAGCGCTTTCAAGATACATTTTGATCTTTGCAAGATCAACTCCAAAGGCTGGTATATATGTACACAAATAAGATGACCACCCTCTTTCCAAATGCTTTTGTTGCTCTGCGCATATTTCTACCACTTCCTGTAACAGTTGCCAGTGGAGAACGCAATTTCTCCAAGCTGAAGTTAATAAAAACACATCTACGCTCCACAATGACAGAGGAGAGGCTGGTCGGCCTTGCAACCATTTCAATAGAGCATGAGCTAGCCCAGACTGTGGACCTTCAGGAAGCAGTTCAAATCTTTGCAACCAAGAAGGCAGGGAAAGCACCACTTTGATTATTCAAACAGATTAAAATGCCAGTGTTTACTAAGCAGACAAGAAAAGTTACATTTGCTGATCAGGCGTTTGAAAGTTAAGTGTTACTTACAATTTTTGAACAAGGTATTTTAAGTTGTTAGTTCTCCTTTACTGGGGTAGGTAGCGGAGTAGAACAAGAAGAAGGCAGAATTGAGACCTTTCAAAGTTTTGGCCCAAGCGAGGGGGCATGGGGACATCATTTGAGCTCCTTGCCTCAGGTGCCAAAATGTTGTGGGCCGGACCTTACTAATTGTGGGATTGTGTTTGCATTGCTGCCCCGCCCTGCATGAGAGCCTGGGGCCTTATTGACTGGGGGGAGAGGGGGTGCCTGGGTTTGCATTGCTGCCTGCCCTGCCCTCAAGCCCCATGGACCTTTACTTACAGGCCTGAACACAGGTCAGGGGCCCAGGACTAAAACAGCCAGCTTACAGCTCCCTATATCTATCCATTACAGGAGTTCATACTATAATATACTATACTATACCCTAGTACTTGAAGTGCCAATGAAATCTGAGGGTATGTCTACACTACAAAGTTAATTCGAACTAACAGACGTTAGTTTGAATTAACTTTGATAGGCGCCACACAGGCAAACCGCTAGTTCGAACTTAATTCGAACTAGCGGAGCGCTTTATTCGAACTAGGTAAACCTCATTCTACGAGGACTAACGCCTAGTTCGAATTAAGTAGTTCGAATTAAGGGCTGTGTAGCCACTTAATTCGAACTAGTGGGAGGCTAGCCCTCCCCAGCTTTCCCTGGTG